AAAGGAAGACAGATCTGCTGTGGTTACACATGGGCATTCAAGGAAAGAGGAGAAGCGAATTAATTTACAGGAGGCTTCAGAATGTTGAGATCTCGCCAGAAAAAAAAAGAAATCAGAAGAAAGCCGAGAGCCCCTGGGCAAAAAAGGAGGGAAAAGTGATAACATAAAACACAGCTCTGTTAGGAAGTTAGACGTCAGCAGGCTTGGAGAGAGCTAGCGAGGGGCTACATGAAAAGCAAAGGAAACATATGCTTTTGTTCATTTTTCCTTTCTATAGGAAAGGAAATAGTCATTTGCTATGGATAAAATTCAAACAAGCTATAGCCCAAGAGATTGTCCCCTTCTCTGTGCCACTGATAAGGTCTAGGGCTGTCTCAGTTGAGTCCAGTCCACACGTGAGCGGGTGGAAAAGCCTGCAGGTCTCCTAGAGTGACCAGGAGCCACCCTTTGAAGTTGGTCAACACAGCCCGTTTTCCTCATAAAAGAATACTGACCCGGGAGGAAAGAAACAACAATCCTAAAAGACTCAGATCCTCATATAAATGAAACCTGAGGCCTCTCAGAGCACCTGCCTGCACCACCGCTCCTGGAGGCGTATTACTCTCTTGCTCTGAAAATCTATCATGTACAGATTTTTCCTATATCCTGAGCGATAGCCTACACATGCTATCTGAACTAGACCCTCAGAGACATAAAGAGCCATGAACGAATGTCACCAAGTGTCAGAACTTGGCTTATGACAGCTCCATTTACCACCCTGAAGAGTTCCTGGCTTCCACCCCAAAGGGAAAATTAAGAATGAACTGAAAGGCACACCTATTGGGTAAGGTGTCCCCAGCCCTCCAAAGCGCAATGGAAATATTCTTTTTTTAAAAAGTTAATCTTCACTATAAATCTAGTAAGAAGCGTAGGATTATTCTCAATCTGTGGATAAAACAGAAACAAGATATACCTTACTTAGCTCAGTCAGGGATGCCGGAACACACATGTAGCTGTGCGAGTCTTTAAAGTGCACCTTCTCAGTTGGGAAACCACCCCACTACCCTTGACCTTGCGTTTTCATAAAGTTGAGCTGTGGAAACTTGATTTATCTGTGACATTTCAACCCAGCTTAAACTTTGAAGTTGGGCAATTCACAATACTTATAGAACCGACAACACCACACCTCCTGAGGGGAGCATTCTCAAATATAAATGGTAGTTTCTACTTCCCACCAAACCACAGTTTTGAAAAGAATTTATGTTTTTATTAAGAAAACTCTTTTATGGGGCTGGGCAGATGGCTCTGTAGACTAAAGGCTTCCCTGGCAAGCACAAGGGCCTGAGTTCCATCCCCGGTTCCACCAAAAAGAAGAAAGAAAACTCTTTTATGCATATTTGAGCATTACTACACATATGACACAGCCATTTTCCAACTCTGTATTTTCTAGGTAAATTTTAAAAAGAGTATATTTAACAACCAAACTGTGCTTGCGATGCACCAGTCATATCACCACACAATTCAGGGAACAGCTAGGCAATGTCGGCGTGAATAGCTTACTAGCCAGCATTATCTGCTAGGCTTTTTACAGGCTCTCTCTCTCTCTCTCTCTCTCTCTCTCTCTCTCTCAAAGAATCTTCATTGATTGGATTAAATGTGGCTCATTTCTCAGGAGCTCAAAATGTTGGCACACACTCTGCTTTTTGTAAAACCACATCCCTATGACATCAGACCAGGGAAGGGCTGGATTTGTCTGCCTTAAAGATAAGGAAACCAAAGCTGAGGGTTTGAATGACTCGGCCAAGGTCATCCAGTAAAATCAGTAAATCAGAAAACTCAAATGTCAACTTTTCTGCCTTATCAGATAAGTGGATGATACTTAATCTTAAGCCAAATACTTTACTGATGTGTGAGTGTTGTGCAGCATAAAAATGGTAAGAGTGATCATTTTATTAGCACTGAAATTTCAATGACATAGGAAATTAGCACAATGATGGCATAAAACATTGTAAAGCGTTCACTATTTTTTATTTTTTTAATTTTGTGCAGGGTCTCACTGTCCTCCTGTTTTCAGCCTCCCCAGCACTGGGATTACAGGTAGGCTTAGAGTGCCTGGGCGCGCAGTTGGCAGGGATCCAACCCTGTCCCCGTGCTTACCTAAGCAGGTGCTCAGTCCTCTGAGCTATCTTGGTGGCCCTTGTTTCCTATTTTTTTTAAATGATATTGAGAGTGCAGGATATAATATAGTTCCATGACACAGCTATGCTCTTCATGCAGGAAGCCTAAGGTTTGACCTTTAGCATGACATTAACCACCACCCCCAAAAAATGGAGAAGAAAAATAATGTTGAACTTGAAGCCGTTAATTTAAACCAGCTAAAAATAATTTTATTTTCAATAACTTTTGAAATTTTTCATACTACCCTTTGAAATAATCAGAGCCATAGTGGAAGTTAAAAAAATGGAGAGAGAACATGATATTAAACTTACTCTTTTTTTCTAACCTTAAGAATTTCAGATTTCCTACAAGGAAAAATATCTGTCTTAAATGAAATTTCTTAAACTGACAGTTCTATGCTCTAAAACTGAAAGAATAAACCTACTTTGTTCTAATTTTATAAAACTATTGTAGTAGATAACTGAATCTTTTTAGCACTGCTCATTTGCATGGCAAATTAATTATGCGTACTCATTAACACCATGTAAAACCATGACACTATCACAAATCTGTCACAAGTGACCTGTTGAAGGCATCTGGACTTCTGAAACTCTCTGTGTCGGCACAAAAGGCTTCCAGCCCCTGAAGAGCCCCCACTTTGCCAGCATGGCACAGGGACGCGCCTTCCTGCTCTAGAGGAGCAGTGTGCTCAGGAGCGATGAAGCGGGTCGTCAGCCACCAGGCTGAGCATGCCCCGAGAGCAGGCAGAAACGAACAACACCCTTTAGTCAAAGTGTTTGAGCACTACCAGTTTTGACTCTTCTTCTATTGGAAAGCAGTAATATTTAGATTCTTGGCTGTCCCTTTCCCGACTTGGGTTTTTAAGGTGCCGAGGACTTTCCCCTCTCATAAAAGCAGTGGAAATCGGTGCAGGATAACAACCATGATCAGAATAGAGAATTGCTGTTTTGCTGGAGATTAACAGAACTAACTTCTGCAAGGTCACTTGTGAAATACTCCTGGGATCCTAAACCTGACACAGCCCCAAAGTCTCTGGGGTCAGGAACTAATCTCCAGCACACTGACAAAAGGC